TCATGTAGGCGCAGACTTGCATGCACCAGTGTAAGACATAATTGCCTTCCATTCCCCACCATCTGGAAAATGTGAATGCCATGCCCATGGAATTTACTGAACATTACAAGCAGCATCAGCCACGTTTACTCCACCCTGCAAGCAGCAGGGCTCAGAGCAAAAACAGCACCGTACAGACTCCTGCACATGCAATTAGTACATACTGCAACTTTTAGTTCCAAAGCAATTGCCACACCGGAGGTCAGCGAACAAAGAACACATTTGAAGGGGATGAGCGGTGCTTTTAAAAAGGTTTCTATTACATCAAACAATGAAGCTCCCTATTGCTGGGATACTGGCACTGCGTAGGGACCAGCATGCTCTCGGCTTGGTGTAAGGGTGACAATACAGAAAAAGATCTACCATCTGCTTGGCTATTGTCAATTGATGGGCCAGCACCAAAGAAAGGTCCTGCAGAAAATATTTCACATTATTAATCTTTGCTCCACGCAAAATAAATAAATCGTCCTTTAATCAATTACTAATTATGCATGAAAGGGTGACACAGGAACACAGAGGAAGGGGGGGGGGGGGGGGTGATAAAAAACGAGACGAACAATAGGGGGGGGGGATGTATAAAAACTGGAGCAGACAAAATCTGGAGCCGTTGTGCCAAGTAACCAATCAGCATCTCTCTTCAGTTACGCTTTGAAAGCTAGAAGCTGATTGGATGCCATGGGCAACGGCTCCAGATTCTGTCTGCTCCAGTTTTGATAAATGCCCCTCATACATTTCTCAGCCTGTTAAGAGAATTTCTAGAACACAGACTCTCTCTTTGCTCCAAAACATTCGAAAAGGTCACCGTGGACAGAGCCCTCAATGCTTCCGCCAAAACAGTGAAAACATCTATAACAATTCTAAGAGATACTAAAGAATGAAATAAGCAGGTCGTTGATCTTCCAATATGTTAGGACTACACATTGTATCGCCGCGCAACATGTCACAATAGGATTAGCAGGTCTACAGCAGATGGTAAGCAACAAGTTTATCATGCGAGACCTCGAGGGCTGTCAGACCATGAAGGGACTTGGGAGGAGGAAATAGAAAGATAGCAATGCATTGCCTAAACCAGCAAAATACAGGACATGGCATGCTGGGACTTCTAGTAGCAGTACAGCCGGCTTGTATTCAATAGTCCGGGAACTAAAAGGCCTGAGGATTCCCTGCTCATCCCTTTCACATGAACTAGCAGTCCAAATGACACTTGTAGCCACACTACAATCAGAAAAGACCCAACTAGATATCGTCATTATACAAACACAGACATAGCCTCTGTTGACAAGGAAACTAATAGCCTGGAAGATGTCACGCTCCTCCGACAGCTTAAAGCAGAACTCCACCTTTTCCTCCACCACCGCCTCTGCACGGTTCTTCTGGTTTAGTCCAGTGACATCACAGGTCCGCTTTCATCATACACTGGTAATGGCATGAGCGCCATTCCCTGCATAAAAATCTGAGGCTAGGATGATGCACCCCCTTAGGGGGCGTGTCCATGACAGCCTGGGCTCTGACTAAGAGGGTTGGATGGTGCTGGCTGTCATTCAATGCGGAAGGCTAGCAACCGGTAGTGGAGGGAACTTTCTACGAGGGGACATTGCTGGACTGAAGGAGAGTATTGCAGCAAAAGCTGCGGTTTCCCATTACACGTATTTATAAAAATCACAGACAATCTACACAGCGCTTTTACATACAAAAGGGATTGCTTGTGTACTAACAGTTTAAGTATCTCTGGGCAACACTTTCTTTTGGCAAAGGGTACATCTTTATTGTCATGTGTCCCCATTGGGGAGATTCACCCCTCTGTCACCAACACAGAAAGTAAAAGGGAAAAATCCAATATTATACAACTGTCCCCATAGCAAGAGGTAAGGGGACAACTCTGCCCTCACTCTGGGGATTTACCTCAACTTCCTGCTGCGTCTGAGACCGGAAGTGCAAATGTCCTCGTTGGTACACAAACGTAAAACCTGGAAAGGGTTTAACCCTTCCCAATGCTACCTAATGCTAGGCTAACAATTACAAAAAAGGTTTTGGCTGAACATAGTTTTGTTTTACTGGAGAACCCCCATATCCAGTTAGTGAGGAAATGACCCAGAAAATAAAGTATGCAGCTCAGGAGTCCCAACCCAACTTGAGCCATACTTGTTCCAGGGCAGTGACTCTAGGTGAGGGGGAAGGCACCCTCAGCATTCCGGCTATGGGTAAAATACAAATCCCATCATGCCTCTGGGAGTCCTGCCAGTGGCTGTTGGTCTTGTAATGCCTCATGGGACTTGTAGTTTCACAACAACTGGAGCACAGACATTGCCTACCCCAGTAACAATGTCAGCCAGAAGAACTAGCAACTTCTAAAAGATGTATACTCTCTGGCTTGCCCCCTAGACCCTAATCACTGGCAGGGCATGATGGGTCTTGTAGTCTCAAAACTACCTGATGGCTTCATATGCACAAACAGCTGACTCAATGGAAAACAGATGGCCATGTTTGACTATTCCAATTCACTACCACCGTAGACTGACAAGCGATGTCAGGACTCCTAACACCACAACAGCCGGAGTCAGGGGTGTGTCTGCTTTGAAGATTTTGCTATGCTCCCTTCCACAGTCTGTCAGGACAAGCTTCCATTTACAGCCAGCTTCCCCTGGCCCATTGGGCTATCAAAACTCCAAAGGGTGTGGGAATGGTTCATGTAGTTCTACATTACAAATGGCCCGAGACTCCAGAACAGTAGTCACCTTCCATTCTGTTGGGTGAGAGCCAAAAATAACTTTCCCATGGTGGGTCTTGTAACTCCACAACAGGCAAGGATTTTATGAGCCTGTCCATCATAGACTGACACCTACCAACGCGGTAAGCTATAACCCGTCTGACTTTTCCCTTGACTCCAAAAAAGATCCGTAGTCACCCTTCCACAGGCCGAGATACCATGGTGGAACTTGTAGTCACCATACCATGCCTCTAAAGATTTGTACACCATCTTAGATTACAAACGGCCTGAGACCCTGGAATAGTAGTCCCCTTCCAGTCTCTGTTGGGTCAGGGCCAACAATAACGTTCCCATGGGAGGGTCTGGTAACTCCACAAGGCAATGATTTTATGAGCCTGTCCATTATAGACTGACAAACACCAAATGGTTCATGTAGTTCTACCTTACAAACGGCCTGAGACTCCAGAAATGTGGTCACCTTCCAGTCTGTTGGGTGAGGGCCAACAATAACTTTCCCATGGTGGGTCCTGTGACTCCACAGCAGACAAGGATTTTATAGACCTGTCCTTCATAGACTGACAACCACCAACACAATAAGCTGTAACCCGTCTTATATCTTCCATTGACGCCTAAAAAGATCTGCAGTCACCCTTCCACAGGCCGAGATCCCATGGTGGAACATGGTAGTCACCACCCCACTGATTTGTAAACCATCTTAGATTATCCATAGGCGGCCAAAACACGCTGGGCTGCGGATTGCCTTTGCGCAACACACAGACCAACGTGACCGGCCATTGGGGTCACCTTCCTCCTGAACTACCCCAGACTGGCAAGACACGCTGCATTGGATTCCTTAAGCACATCCACCATGGACCAGCACCTGAGAGGGCATGCTAGGACCTGTAATCTAGGTCTTCTATAGGTTAATAGGGGTAAATAGTTATCTCTCACAACTCCAGCAAGCTGACGAGGCATTTACCTACCCAAGGCTGACTAATTGCTGATAAATGCTGGGACTTGTAGTTGCAAGGAGCTGAAGACTGATTTATAACCTAACACAAGCTTGCTCAGTCACGTATCTGCATCTCTTCTAGGCCAGCAGGCCAACGAGACTCAGTTTTGTCAGAGTGAGGCATGCTGAGATTTCTAATCCTTACATTGTGGTTATTTAAAACTGGAGGGCCATGATGGGACTGGTAGTTCCACACCAGCCTGAGGTTTTGTCTGTGTGCACCGACACCCACAGGCCTGCCAGGTTAGGCCGCAGCATTCCATCTAATCTACAGCTCAGGGCTGCTGCTGATCAAGGTGACCAACCTTGACGTTTCACAATTGATCCCGGTGACTGCAACCACTGTCAGGGCACGCTGGGCCTTATAGACACCTTCTGCTGGCAAAAAGAGCATGCTGGGACTTGTAGTCACCATTCTATCCACAGACAGAAAGGTAATGCTGGGAGTAGTAGTCACCTTTCTATTACTCACCATGCAATTCATGGAGCTGTAGATACCTTACTGTGGACAAGGCATGCTGGCAGTTGTAGTCACCTTTCCACTACTAATAGGGTATGCTGGGAGTGTTAGTTCCCTTCCCGTTAGTGCAGATAATGCTGGGAGTTGTCACCCTCTTAATATTGACAGGGCATGCTGGGGCTTCTAGTCACCTCATTACCAACAGGGCATGTTGGCTCCTATTACTGACAGGGCATACCGGGAGTTGTAGTAATCCCCCCATGACAGACATGGCATAGTGGGAGTTGTAGTCACCTTTCCATTACTGACAGGGTGTGCTTGTCACCTTCTCATTAATGACAGGACATGCTCAGAGTTGTAGTCACGTGATTACTGACAAAGCATGCAAGGAGTTGTACTTCCCTCCCCACTGCAGACAAAGCACGCTGGGAGCTGTAGTTCCGTATTACAAACAGGGCATGTAACGTTGTAGTTCCCCATCTATTGAAGGAAAGGCATGCTAGGAGTTGTAGTTCCTTTCACATTACTAGCAGAGAATGCTAACACTATTAGTTCCCATGCAAATACTGACAGAGCATGCTGGGAGTTGTAGTTCCCTAATACAAACAGGGCATGCGGAGATGTAGTTCCCTGTATTGCAAGCAAGGTATGCTGGGAGTTGTAGTTCTTCACATTACTAGCAGAGAATGCTGGAAGTTGTAGTTCCCTTCCCGTTATGGCCTGGGAGTTATAGTCCCCGGACCCCTGCACCCTTCCTTCTCTCCTCCCCCGGGGGCTCTTACGTTCAAAGTCAGAGTCATCGTCATCCTCGTCTTCCTCGCCGTTGGAGTCGGTCTGCATGGGCTCCCCGTCAAAGTTGACCACTCGGGTGTGAGGCCGGTGGAGTGCCGCGTCCGCCACGACGCCATCCTGCAGCCTCTTCTCCCTCAGGCAGGTGAAATACTGCACGGCGAACTCCAGCAGATCGGGCGGCCTCTGGCGCAGAACCTCCACCGTATAGCCCTGCAGCAGCTCGGTGAGGCCGGGCGGGATCTCGATGCTCATGGTCCCCCGGGGGCTCTGCGTCCCTCTGTGCTAACAGGCAGGCCGGAGGAGTGTGCGCGTCTCCCCTCTGTCCCCCTCCCTCCCCCCGGGAACACACAGCGGCCGCTGACAGGGAGGGCTGAGGCGGCTCCGGCTTCACCTCACACACACAGCCGAGGACCGGCACAGAATTAAGGACACGCCCCGTGACACTTTCCCTCTGGCAACTACTGTGTGTGGGCGTTTCGTAGGAATTAAAAAGAATCGCCTTGTGTGACCGACCCGTCTACTCGTGTGTGTGGGCTTGGCGAAGCAGTTATTTCCAGGAGGAGCCACCCTCTGATTGCTAGTGAGTGGGCCTGTCAGAGGCGAGAATTTATTACATTTGTCCCGCCCACTCACAGTTGGCCAATAAAGCGCAAGCCTCAGCCATGTGGACACGCCCGTTTTGCGTCATTACTAGATTTGGCATTGAGAGGTTGGGAGCGGGGGAGCTGACGTAGAAGCTGAGTGATCATTGTACCGTTGCTCTTAGCAACCAATAAAAAAATTTGCCTTTTTTTCCCTATCTCGAATCAGGATAATGACAGCAAGTCGCTGGTTGGTTGTCCTGGGAAACTGATATCCATCCAAACAAAGCTTTCTTTTTTTATGCTAGATGAAATGAGCAGAGCAAACTCAATGCTCTATTCTTCCTTCTTCAGCATGTTCCGAGTGTTAGACTAACAGCACAATGCAATGTGTGCGTGCTGTCTGAATGTTTTACATTGCTCCCTCTTCCTCTCTTTGTCACAATCATGAAGGGGACATATGGGGGAGCTAATACAAGCACAGAATTCATATACTTTTACTATGTTTAAAATACAAGGACCGTCTTAAAAAGGTATCTAAACACGTTTTAAATATCCAAAACGTTAGTGTTGTCACGTCAGCAGGAAATGACGGACAATACTCCAGTGGGGACCAGGGATGAACCAAACCCATGGGGCCACCTGCCTAATCAGCTGCGGGCCGTGACATTCCCCATACTGCAGCTGAACATAAACAAAGGGTTTTGCTGACGTCATTGACCAAATATAGCCATGTGACCATATAAGGTCAATGATGAGACAACATCCCGCCCCTTTACATATGTGCAGCTGTGGGCGGGGAATCCCTCAGCCACAGCTGATTGGACAGCAGCAGAAGCAGCCCCTTGCTCCCTGTTTGGAGGAGAGCAGGTTCTACAGCAGCATGCAGGGAATTCCTGGGCCCGCAGCTGCACCTAAAGAAAGGGGTGGGGTGCTTGTGCCGATCTGATCGACCTTATGGGGCCATCCACCCAATCAGCTGCGGGCCGGAGCATTCCCCACCCAGCTGAACATAAACAAAGGGGTGGGATGTATGTGCTGACATCATTGACCTTATATGGCCATATTTGGTCAATGTAATTGCCCAAATACAGTCAAGTGGCCATATCAGGCAATGGGGGCGGAGAATTCCTCGGTCACAGTTGATTGGGCAGAAGCAGCCTCCTTGCTTGTTCGGAGGCAGTGACGTCACAAGGGGGTCGCGGGACACACCCGGGTGACACCATTGGAAGGGTGACACCAAAATGACTGACAGTCATTTTGGTGTCACCCCCCTCTGAAAAGTCGGGCACTTGGTCAAGGACCGAGAGCCTGACAATTGCTCGAGAGAGAGGAGGGGACCCGGCGGCATACCTTATTCCACCGGGTGAACATTCCCTCCCCTCTGTGCCGGCGGCCATCTTGGTGAGGGCAGCATCGCGCGTGATGACGTCATCACGCGCGTACGCAATCACGTCACTGCGGGGTGTCACCCTGTATCCACACCGGGTGTCACCCCACCTCGGGACGCCTCTGTACGGAGGAGCTCAGGTTCGAACCTGAGCTCATCCCTAACAGGGACACCTGTTCCTAAGACAACTCTCTAACATGGGAACTTAGTTTGGAGAGACATCTTCTCATTTCCTGTTGTGTCTCCAGGACAGGAAGTGAAGAGAAGTCAACGGGACACAGGTCCTATGCATTCCCTACTCTATCTAAAAACAAAAGTTTTGGCCATACATAAACTTTAACTCTATTGATCCCCAGGGGACACAGGCTGGGACGTGCTGTCCGATGATCGCTGCGGTTCCGCGAGTCGCCCTCCCCTGGCCTAATGGCAGTGAAATGTCATTCGCAGCAGCAATCCTATTTAAACCGCATCCTGCATCTCATCTCCGCCGTGACCTGACAGTCAGGTTTTCAGTTACAGTCGCTCTCTCCTGATCTCGAGCCAGGCATTAAGCGTGGAGGATGAGCCGCGATCGAGCAGCTGGTTGCCATAAGCCATTATCAGGTTGAGAGTGATGGGGAGCCGCTTATTACACCAAGTGGTACCCGCGCAGGGACGCCATGCAGAAAATATTAAGATTTAGCGAATATCTTTCAGCGAGAATGAAGTGGAGCGCAAAGCCGCAGCCTGTATCAAGGAGCAGCTGCTCGCGTTAGGCACGCCGCAAATCCGTTTTATTACGCATCTGGAAAAGTCAGGCCCTCCCCTGCAGTGATTAGGACGAGCGGCCAAAATCATTCCCCGCCAGTTTATCGCCACAGATATGTAGAAAATGATCAGAAGCTGCAATTGGCTGGCACTCAACCCAAATATTAAAGGAGAACTATCAGGCAAGTGCTTTTCACTCACCTCATAGTTCTAGCCGACCTGTGACAATGAGACTGTCACAGGTCGGCTCAGTAGATCGGGAGGTGAGAGAACACATACCGGCGTTCGCTCACCTCTCCATCCTGTCACGGCTCTCTGCCGTGACGGGAGTGGCTGGATTACCCCCTCCCCGCTACGATCCTCTAGCGCTGACTGGCGGAACGGACGGGGGATGGGGCGGGTACAGCTGGCTCTGCCTTTAGATAGGCAGAGCCAGCTGTCAGTCACGCAGCTGGGCGGATCCCGGCACAATTGTCGGGATCCGCTTCAGCTGCGGTGTCTCAGTAAACTCGCGGTATACTGAGCCTAGGGTGACGGGAGGACGCTAGTTTGTGTCCTCCCGTTACCCTAAGGAGAACTATGGGGAAAAGACTTAACCCCATAGTTCTCCTGTAGAGTGGAACTTTATCCCCTTTCACTAAGGGCCCTTTCACACCAATTGCGGTGCGTTCCAGAGCGGCAGCTGCTAGAATGCACAGCAATCGCTCACAAAACTTCCCCCTTCGTTCTGGGGCGGGAGGGGGTGTGGCGGTGCATTGAAGTCAATGGCACAGCAGCCACTCCCCCCCCTGCCCGCAGTGCGATCGGACGCGTGGTAAAAAATTGCCTGCGTTCCAGTCCACTGCAAATGCAAAAAATGCTGCATGCTCTATTTTTTTGCGTTTGCAGCGGACCAGCCGCTCTGGAACGCACCACAATTGGTGTGAATGGGCCCCAAAATCACAACAGCGTGCAGCTCTGCATGCTGATTTAAAATCATCTTACATTACATTAATTAAACTTGTTTTTTCATTTACTTACAAATAGAATTCATCTACTTCCTGGTCCTCTTTGGCACAAATGATGTAATCTGTGCCCAAGCGTTGCATCCTGGGAAGGTTACATTGGCAGAGCATTGCTGGGAAATCTCATCTGTAATCTCATGAGATCTCAGGGAAAGGTATTTTCCTCCCCCTGAGATGATGTGCATGGTCACATGTCCTAGTCACATGTGCCAGAGTTCCAGGAAGTAAAGGGAGATGTAGTAACCTGCCCTTAGTAAACATGGCCGCTGTGAGAAGACTAGGGAGGAAAAGAAGAATAAGCTATGCAAAGAATACAAAGCCGGTGTTCTAATTCTTTTTTTAGCCGTCGTGTTCTGATGCATGGGAGGAATCGCGGTGGGAAACCACGCGATCCGCCTGGCGCGACTGGGGTGCCATTAGAAAATAATGGCACCCACAGTGTACCGGGTGACTCCGTGAACGGGCAGCAATCCGTGCGGTATGGTGCACGATTGCCTCGCGGTCACGAGTCGCCAAGGTGTGCACCGGCCCTTAGGCCCCGTTCACATTGAACGATTTATCGCGCGGTAATTCCCGCGATATCGCGGCAATTTACCGCGCGATATCGCTCTCCAATGCTTCTCAATGGGGCAAAGGGTCCTGCTGTTGCGGGTCGTGTGTCGCTACAGCAGGACCCTTTTTGGAGCGGATTTAGCCGCGATTCAAGCTTGCAAGCATTTGCGCAATATCGCGCGTCAAATCGCGCGATATCGCGCAAAATGCAAAGCGCGCGAAAAACGCGCGATTTGCGAACCGCTCAATGTGAACGGGGGCCTAAGTTTCAGCTAGAGGTTTTTCTACGCTAGATCTTTTTTTTCTTTCCACTCAAAAAATAGCTTTGAAAGGAATCTAACGAGAAGCTGTCCACACAGGAAACGGACAGCACTATCTGCATGCCAGTTTAGCGTACTACTGGGAATAGAATCTGTCCTAAATTACATTTGCCGCGGCGCACAGGAAGCCAGGCTCTCTATCGGCCAGCTCTCCATGTTCATTTTATTTATTTATTTAGTACATACAGAATCCATCTGCCGTAAAGGCGGAACGCGGGCAGAGCGCTCCCTCCCATCTCGTGCACTGTTTATTTCATCATAAAATAATAACACTTCGCAGAGCCAAATTATAGTGTCAGCCCTGACCCGCCACCGAGTCATAATCATTTCTGCACAGAATGTTTTTGTTTTTTTTGGCGTGGAAGAAAACGAGGAGCATCTAGATTTTACTGGGAAATACAATAAGCTTCGCTGACCTATAAGGTTCAAAGGCTTAAAGGAGAACTATGGGGTAAGTGGTTGTTCCCCATAGATCTCCTAAGGGTCACGGGAGGACACAAACTAGCGTTCTCCCGTGACCCAAAGCTCAGTATAACAGTAGAAAGGTATCATGACACACTCACAAGCCAGCATGTAAAAAAACTTGTCTCACCATTAAGGTTAATAACAGAGGTTTGGATACACGTCATCTGCAGAAAATGTGAAAGCCGCACAGCCGCGCCAAGGCACCTCTTATAGTGCGGTCCTAACTCTAAACTATGAGAGTCTCCGTCTTGTAGCACATGGGAGCAGAAGATTATGCACACAGCCCTGGTGAGACCCAAACGCAGCCCTAGTGAGACTGCACACAGCCCTGGTGAGACTGCACAAAGCCCTGGTC